GTCCTTATATGACCCTGGCTGTTGTGTCTCCCTAGTTACCCGTCCTTATATGACCCTGGCTGTTGTGTCTCCCTAGTTATCTGTCCTTATATGACCCTGGCTGTTGTGTCTCCCTAGTTACCTGTCCTTATTTGACCCTGGCTGTTGTGTCCCGCTAGTTATCCGTCCTTATATGACCCTGGCTGTTGTGTCTCCCTAGTTACCTGTCCTTATATGACCCTGACTTTTGTGAGGACGTTAAACCCCAAACAAACAAAACTACAGGTTGAACATGTTAATAACAAGAGGCCCAGAGGGCCTGTATCGCTCACCTGGATATCTAAGCAATCATGGCAGAATATTCTCCAAATGAGATCCATGGGAATATGCCAGACCCCAAGGCAAATCCTTGTAGCATATATATCTGTATTCGATTTTTCATGCCCAGCAATTTTATGTATGGTTATGGGGTGGGGATCTCAACTGTTTCCAATCTGTGACTCAGAAACTAGGTCCCTATGGTTGTGGCCAGAACCCAGGATCAATTCTAATATCATGACTGCATTTGTCTCTTTTTGCCCAGCATTTGTATATATAGTTTTGGGGTGGGGATCTCAACCGTTTCAAAGTTATGACCCAGGGGTTAAGTCTGCAAGGGTGGGGCAAACCATGGGGTCGATTCAAATATCATTACTGCATTTGTCTCTTTATGCCCAACAATTGTATATATAGTTTTGGGGTGGGGATCTTAACCATTTTGAAGTTATGTCCCAGGGGTTAAGTCTCCAAGGGTGGGGCAGTCCCCAAGGCCATCCTGGAAGCATATGTGCATTCATCTCTTTATACTCAGCAATTGTCTATATGGTTATAGGTCGGGGATCTCAACCATTTCCAGACAATAAACTTTTTTTGGCCCCACCCCTTAGCCTGGGGGGTCAGCCCCACCATTTGTACAATTTTGAATCCCTGCCTCCTACGAATGCTTATGACCAAATATGATCGATATCCAGTGCATAGTTCTACAGAATAAGTCGTTTATAGCAATCTAGCCAAATTGCCCCCTTTTGGCCCCGCCCTCAGCCCTCTGGGGGTCAGCCCCACCATTTGTACAATTTTGAATCCCCACCACCTAGGGATGCTTCCAGTCTAATATGGTTGATATCCATCACTTAGTTTCAGAGAAGAAGTTGCTTAAAGCAATATAGCCAAATAACTCTTTTTGGTCCCACCCCTCAGCCCCCTGAGAAGTCAGCCCCACCATTTGTACAATTTTGAATCCCTGCTTCCCATGAATGCTTTTGATTAAATATGATTGATATCAAGTCCATAGTTCTACAGAAGCCCTGCCCCTCAGCCCCCTGGGGGGTCAGCCCAATTATTTGTACAATTTTGAATCACCACAACCTAGGGATGCTTCCAGTCTAATATGGTTGATATCCATCACTTAGTTTCAGAGAAGAAGTTGCTTAAAGCAATATAGCCAAATAACTCTTTTTGGTCCCACCCCTCAGCCCCCTGAGAAGTCAGCCCCACCATTTGTACAATTTTGAATCCCCACCACCTAGGAATGCTTCCAGTCAAATTTAATTAAATTCCAATCTGTGGTTAAGAAGAAGAAGTCGTTTAAAGAAATTGTTGACGGACGGACGGACGCCACGGAATGGCATAAGCTCACCTTGGTCCTTTGGACCAGGTGAGCTAATAATAATACTAATAATTCGAGTTTCTGATATACCCTTTATCACCTCCTAATTCGTAGCATGTCTCAAAGCGGTTCACAAATTATTATCCGTGGTTATAGGGCCTTTGCAAACAACCAATATCTTTCTCAACTCCCTGGGGAGCATACAGCCGGTGCTGCCATTTCGGCGCTCACAGCTAGAATTCTACAATTCTAGCACTGCCCAATCACATACTCATTTACAGCTGAGTAGACTGAAACAAGCCGAGTCAAGTACCTTGCTCAAAGACATAACATAGTACCACGCCGTAACTCGAACCCGCAACCCTTCGGTCACGAGCCCGGTGTCCTACTACTAGACTACTGTGCCTCCTGTTAGGGCCCCTTACCTCCAGACAGCGCAGCCTTTACCCCATTCTCAATAGCCTTAATATACTTCCTCCTGATAGTCTGTAAGGACGGGGCTTCCTCGCTATTGACAATCTTAATGTGCGTGAATTTCTCTGCATCAGGATTATGACTGACGGCCATCGTAAGATTGACTGTGTGATGTTGATTGCCGATCCTGGTGTTGAGATTTTCCTTCTGAACAATGTCTTTTCCACTAATGGCCTCTCTGTATGCCACCTGTAACGGTCCTAGGTCCACATCAACCTTGAACTCCTTGATTATACGGTTCTTTATCACCTCAAGGTGCAGTTCGCCCATGCCTGACAGGATGGTCTGTGTGGTTTCCTCCTTGTACTCCACCTGAGACATTGGAAAATAAATCCCCAGGGAACTAATTATAAGGTATATGGGACATGACATCACTACATCACAAGGGTATTAACTATTAGGCATAACATAATCAGCTCGTTAAAATGTGGCTCACCAGCTGGGACACAATGGAGGGCCATTGAACAGGCAGTGCATGTCCTCCATGCTTATCTTAAGAAAAAAATCTAGACGATGTCTTCGAAAGCTACGATGCTGAACTGATGCAAACCTGGATAAATTTTACACGGAGGCTCGCGTACAAAAATCAGAACCTTGAGTTTTGTTTTGTTTTATTTCATTGTTGAGGCATATAACAAAACAGTTATGGGTTTTTGTGCTGGTAAATATGATGTGATATGAACCTGAAAAAGTGATATTGACCGAGGCGAATATCACTGTTTCGGGTTCTTATCACATCATATTCACCAGCACAAAAGTCCATAATTGTATAATATTTTATGAAATTTTAACAATCCCTTTCCGGTTGTCAAGAATGCTGGAAACAAGGTCAATCCACATGCAGAATTTAAGATGATAATAATAACAAGAAGCCCAGAGGGCCTGTATCACTCACCTGGATACCTTAGCAATCATGGCAAAATATTCTCCAAATGAGATCAAGGGAATATTCCAGACCCCAAGGCAAATCCTTGTAGCATAACTGTAATAGATTTTGTCATGCCCAGCAATTTTATGTATGGTTATGGGGTGGGGATCTCAACTGTTTCCAAGCTTTGACTCAGAAACTAGGTCCCTAGGGTTGTGTCCAGACCCCAGGATCAACTCTAATATCGTGACTGCATTTGTCTCTTTTTGCCCAGCATTTGTATATATAGTTTTGGGGTGGGGATCTCAACCGTTTCAAAGTTATTACTCAGGGGTTAAGTCTCCAAGTGTGGGGCAATCCCTAAGGCCATCCTGGAAGCATATGTGCAATCATATTTTTATACTCAGCAATTGTATATACGGTTTTAGGGTGGGGCTCTCAGCTGTTTCCAAGCTGTGACTAAGAAACTAGGTCCCTAGGGGTTCGGTCAGACCCCAGGGTCTATTCTGATATCATGACTGCAATCGTCTCTTTATGCCCAGCATTTGTATATATAGTTTTGGGGTGGGGATCTCATCAGTTTTAAAGTTATGGCCCAGGGACTATGTCTCCAAGGGCGGGGCCAGACCCTAGTGCCATCTTGGAATCAAATGAGCAATCTTCTCTTTATACACAGCAATTGTATACCATGGTTATATGGTGGGGATCTCAACTATTTCCAAGTAATACACTTTTTTGGACCCACCCCTTAGCCCGCTGAGAGGTCAGCCCCACCATTTGTACAATTTTGAATCCCTGCCTCCCATGAATGTTTCCGACCAAATATGATCAATATCCATGGCATAGTTCTACAGAAGAAGTCGCCTAAAGCAATATAGCCAAATAACCCTTTTTGGCCCCGCCCCTCAGCCCCCTGGGGGGTCAGCCCAATTATTTGTACAATTTTGAATCTCCACCACCTAGGGATGCTTCCAGTAAAATATGGCTGATATCCATCTCTTAGTTCCAGAAAAGAAGTCGCTTAAAGCAGAATAGCCAAATTTCCCCCTTTTGGCCCCGCCCTTCAGGCCCCTGGGGAGTCAGCCTCATCATTTGTACAATTTTGAATCCCCACAACCTAGGGATGCTTCCAGTCTAATATGGTTGATATCCATCACTTAGTTCCAGAGAAGAAATCGCTTAAAGCAATATAGCCAAATTGACCCCTTTTAGCCCTGCCCCTCAGATCCCTGGGGGGTCAGCCCCATCATTTATACAATTTTGAATCCCCACCACCTAGGAATGCTTCCAGTTAAATTCCAATCAGTGGTTAAGAAGAAGAAGTCGTTTAAAGAAATTGTTGACGTACGGACGTACGACGGACGCAACAGGATGGCATAAGCTCACCTTGGTCCTTTGGACCAGGTGAGCTAATAATATACAACATTTGATTTAGCACCCTATCTAGCTAGAATAAGCCACTCTAAAGCGCTTTACAGTACATAGATGTACAATTGCCTCAATCAGCATACATTACATAATTTAGTAGAGGCGAGATAGAAGGACATATTAATCTCAATATATTGTTATTTGTTCTCCGAAACTGTGCATTTTTTTAGCTCTGCTTACTGTTCGATGCAAGTGCATTCGTTTATTGTGGAATATTTCTACGCCACCTGAACCGTATGAATCAGGGTAAGCGAATGCCACCTTGTAGATTTGCTCTCCCCATACCCACCTGTAGACTGGGATCCTCACGTTGCAGACACTCCAGTGCCATCTCCATCTTTCTCTGACTAGACGTTGATGGTGGCTCTATGGAACAGAAGAACACTGGGGTAGGTATCTGCATTCCTGCTAGGATGGCTTCACTAGTGTCATCATCATCATGGCTATCTTCATCAGACAGTTCTGAACTCTGAGTGACCTGGTGACCTTTTGACCTTAGTTCCTTCTCCTGAAGTGTTTGCAAGGTTTTCCTTGCTCGATTGGCTGCTGACTGACTGCTTGTTATTGTATCACCTGTTCTCGACTGCAGGTGAAATAAGAGAAAAGCTGACAAGGGGGAGCAACTCTTGATCAGTTTAACTGACAGGGTTTTTCATGATGCTTAACTATTCTGTATTAATACCCGGTAGATGGATCCCTTGTCTGATAAAACTAACTTAGTTTTGAATACTTTCTTTAGGAAATCATTAATAAGATTCCCCAGAATTGAAACCATTTCAAACTCTGTTTGCTAGTTCACAGTTAAGGCAGCTGTTTCATATTATCAGGATATTAGGATACCTTCAAGTTGGAGATGTCATAAATTAATTCATGATCAGAAACAACTAACCGACTTGAGTATGACAAAAAAACCTGCTGTAAACTAGAAAAATTGTGCCCCTTCCAATTAAAATCCACATTTGCCCAGTAATTAATTTTACTTTTCACATTTAATTTCTTTGGTTAGCATGTTGTGTATTATTATTTCCCATTAATAACAAATGTCCTCATTTTAGGACAAAAAAGACTAAGTTATACCGCTGTGAAAAATGTACAGTATACAGCAAGGCACACTATGGATACAAAGACTTACTGATTTAAGTCCCGTGGCACATACTAAAGTGCCTAACATTTACTGATTTAAGTCCCGTGACACATACTATAGTGCCTAACATTTAGTGATTTAAGTCCCGTGACACATACTATAGTGCCTAACACTTACTGATTCAAGTCCTGTGACACATACTATAGTACCTAACACTTACTGATTTAAGTCCCGTGACACATACTAGAGTGCCTAACACTGACTGATTTAAGTCCCGTGACACATACTATAGTGCCTAACATTTACTGATTTAAGTCCCGTGACACATACTAGAGTGCCTAACACTGACTGATTTAAGTCCCGTGACACATCCTATAGTGCCTAACATTTACTGATTTAAGTCCCGTGACACATACTAGAGTGCCTAACACTGACTGATTTAAGTCCCGTGACACATCCTATAGTGCCTAACATTTACTGATTTAAGTCCCGTGACACATACTATAGTGCCTAACATTTAGTGATTTAAGTCCCGTGACACATACTATAGTGCCTAACACTTACTGATTCAAGTCCTGTGACACATACTATAGTACCTAACACTTACTGACTTAAGTCCTGTGACACATACTATAGTGCCTAACACTTACTGATTTAAGTTCCATGACACATACTATAGTGCCTAACACTGACTGATTTAAGTCCCGTGACACATCCTATAGTGCCTAACATTTACTGATTTAAGTCCCGTGACACATACTAGAGTGCCTAACACTGACTGATTTAAGTCCCGTGACACATACTCTAGTGCCTAACACTTACTGATTTAAGTCCCGTGACACATACTATAGTGCCTTACACTTACTGACTTAAGTCCAGTGACACACACTATAGTGCCTGGTCCAGAAGACAGGATTTCTTGGAAATCATCAGCATAAATCTGCAGTAGTCGTGTCACTTTCTCACTTAGATTCTGGTTCATGTTAAATAGGTTTGCTTTAGCTTTAATGCTGCCGTTGTAAACTCTAAGGAAAGTCAGAGTCCCTCGTTCTTTATGATGAATTATTTTAAAGACAAGCGCACACAAGTCCTCACCATAAAACTTGGTAAATTCAAAATTTCTATCACTTGGATTAGGAAGATAGAGACAAACAGAGTCTATTAGAGGTTGTATACCCATGTTCCGTAGAGAGCTACCTCCCAACACTGGCACCACGTGTCTGTCTAATGTTGCCCGCCTCAGACCTCGCACCAGATCTATCGCAGGAACATCAGCTATAGGTGTATCTGACAGAACATGCTCCTCCAGTTTTAAATCAAAATCTGCTAATGTCTCAACCATGGATGTTCTCCAATTTATTAGGTTTTCCCATAAAGTCTTATCTACATCCGGGGAGATTTTTTTAATGTCAAATTTTCTGCCATTTGTAGATTCCTTCAGATCCCAAGTGAGTAAATTCTTGCCTACAACATCAATTTGTTTCAGAGTGTTTCTATCACAACTGACTGGTACAAATATAGGCATTGCCTTCACATGAAGTTTCTTCTCTATAGACTGCAAACACTGCTGAAAGTCTGCATGCGGCTTGTCCATCTTATTGAGATACATGATGGAGGGAATCTTGTACCTGTTTGCTTGACGCCATACAGTTAGCGTCTGAGCTTCCACACCTGAAGGATATTCAATTACGAAGTCATTCAGTAAAAGCCTATACATCTAACAATGTTAACATAAGTTTGCTAGATGGATGCTCCGATAGCATTGCAGAGGGAAAGAATGTGATGAACGTGTTGTGAGGATACATCACCGTTTGGTCAGGTGACCACTGTACTGTGATGCCACTAAACTCAGTGTGATAAAACAGACTTTGCTGTTCCAAGAACCTGACACACTGACTTTATCTGATAAATGTGTGAAATAACTAAATAAAGTATAACCAATCCATCAAATAAATTCAGCAAATGAAAGTTTTAACAAATGACATTTTATTCCTATATCAAGCTACTAACATAAATATATTCAGGCCGAGTTTTGTAAGTTTGTCAATATTTTGTATCATAGGACAACAGCATTGATTATTAAAACATCTACAGCTTAAATACACACCTGGTCGCCATTCACACTTGTGTTAACATCTGACAATAGTTCTACTTCAAAGAATGGCATTAGAAGTATGTATACACACTATTTGTAATGAAGTCCAAGTGATCCGGATATTAATGTACATTGTATTGTGTAGTGATGGAAAAGTTTGCAAACAAGGCATTTACATTAACCATGGATGAGAAAGATAAGTTTGTATTTGTTAAGATAAATTCATAAGAGAAACAAAACATTGAGCTTTTCGGAGAGATTATTAATTTAAACAGATTTGAGTACAATTTTCGCAAGTTGATAAACAAAACTACAGACCTGCAGCAGCATCTAGAACTGTGATTGTTCCATCCAGGACACGGAGACACCGCTCTACCTCCACCGTAAAATCAATGTGTCCTATTAAACAGTAAAAACATGTACATCAGACGCCGATCCACTGACTTTATGACTTTTATGACTTAAAAATTGCTTAAAATGCCCTTAAAGCTTCCAGGGTTTCCCCTGATTTTGTGTCCTGTAAAACAGTTAACATTTTAATAGAGTGGTGTAATGTATATTGCAATACAAGGGAAGTAACTCTTATAGGTTGTACCATTATTAATCAGGAGTCATATTGGACATTCGTGAGAACAATTATATTGGTAGAGATACAGCTAATGAGTTATATAAGTGCCAAGACAATATACCCTGGTACGCCCATTGAATGCCATATAGTGTTATATACTTTCTTACATTGAAATAAGATCTCTCTGCCTCATTCTAAGAGTGGTTAGAATCACAATTCTTTTAATGGAGACACAACTTCATATCCTGATTATAATGTATACCAAGTTTCAAAGAGATCCGTTGAAAAATGTAGGAGAAGATTGCGGGACAAAAATCAAAAACTGAAATAAACAAAGGGCAATAACTTTTGGAAAAGTTGTTGAATCAAATGTTTTTTTCAAGGAAACACAAGTTTCAAAGAAATCTTTCAAAAAATGTAGGAGGATATTGCCGGACAAACGAAAGTTTACGCCAAACGGACAACCCCATACAATAATACTTCCGTCAAATTTGACGGGTGTATAAAAAGGAGTAAACAAGTGGGGTATAAAAAAGCATGATCGTGAGTGAGAGGATGAGTCTGACATTAGCCTAAGTCTATTAAGTGCGGTGTGGACTATACTTTTGCATACTGTATTTTTATGTGATTTTGGCACTTAACACACCTGTGAATTTTACCAAATGCATTGTTTCTTTACTATATAGACAGTCCAATCAAGACAACCTACATTATTATTGTGACAGATAAGTATGCTACGAGGTTATTACGAAAACAGAGTTCTTAATTGACTCCACGCAAAATTGATATCGTGAATTGAATGAAATGTCACAGTACATTATCTACAGAAAGCTTTTACACTAATCACTAAAAAACAGACACTTATCATTACTGCACACGACAAAGCCTACCTGGGGTATCAAGGAGATTGACCCGGTGTTTATTCCAGTCAAACGTCACAGCAGCAGAGGTGATTGTTATTCCCCTCTCTCGTTCCTGGTCCATGTAATCAGTGACAGTGTCACCATCATCAACAGACCCTGTAAAGACAAAGTACATGTTCTACAGCATCTATCTTATCCGTGCCAGTGATGGCCTTCTAGGACATAAAAATGACACTTTGTTACTATTCTAAACAGAAAATAGGAGATCACAGCCACCCTCTAGCTTTTTGCAAGAGGGGATTTCCCTTTAGCTCAACTAAGCAGCAGACTGGTAATATAGGGGTCACTGGTTAACGTTAGTGCAGGCAAATTCGTCACATTAGCGAGGGTTTCGGTTAATTATTCGTCCAAAAACGCATGTATCAAAATGCAGGCAAGCACCAGTACAGAAGAAGATTTGACTGAAATGCCTATAAATAAACTTTGTTGTAAACATGCCTTAATGACGTCAAGCAGCAACATTTGTGAAGTCATCAGGCCTTCCGTGGTTTTGTTCAAAGGTGCAGGCAGTTTCGCCACCTTCAAACATTTAACTAATTTACAAGTGTTTAAATGTAAAATTTGTATGTTTATGTAATACAAGTCGTTCTGATACAAAACAGTTCCAAATGTGTGTGTGTAACAATGATTAACATTGAAATACATGGCTTTTCTTAGTTGTGATAGTTATTTTTCGATAACTTGAAGAAACTGATTAATGTTGTCTGAGAAAGATGGCTGGTATCGGCTGAGATGATGTTAATTTACATGATACGCAATAAAGACTCAGTCCTTAACAATTAACTTCCAAATCGCTGCCCAATATTATATTATTTTCATCGGGTCCGGATGAGAGGGTCCAGGCCCCCGCCGACTTTTGGATAATTTGTCACATGTACGTCTCCGATTGTCTTGCAGGTCGAAGGGAAACATCTGACAAATTGAAACAATTTTCTTGGGCTTGAAAACTTATTCAACAAAGAGTGCCCGGCCAGGTGTTGTAAATGTACCTACTTTTTCATGTAAAAAACAGTTTTGATAATTGTCGGTCTCTACATGTATGCACAATCAGCATGCGATTGTACAGCAGTACTTTCAGGCCAACAACAAATTCCTTTCAGATATAAATCTAGAAAATTTCTAGTTGATTTTAATTTTGTAAGATTGTTGAACGTAAGACGCAAACAATTCTTTTTAAAAGTTACTGGTTGTATTCTAAATACACATTGCATGAAAATGGAAACTGACGAATTATCAAATCGCGGATCTTTCCGATCGTCATTTCCATAAACACGCATTGACAGATAGATTTTTTTTATAGTATACAGGGTATTTTTTATACACAGATCGTTATACTTATATTGATTAAACGTCAAGACTCATGTGGACACCTCCAGGGCTTAAAGGAAATTTGGGCTAACATTACCTTTTTGCCCCCGTGCACCCTTTAGTGAGTCGAAAAATAGAGATAACAATCTAAAAGGTCCGTCTGATCAAACCATGTGACAACCTGATATTATTAAGGACTGTCTAGTACACAGGGGCATGGATCGCTTTACTTGTAATGTAAAAAAATAGGGGGCTCCTATACTAATATATACAGTTTGTACATACTAGTATAGGAGACCCCTATTTTTTTATATTACAAGTAAAGCGATCCATGCCCCTGTGGTCTAGTATGGTTCCTATCTACCTACCAAGGTGTTCGCTGAACCCAGAATAGAACAACATGCGTTCAGTTGTGGTCGTTTTCCCGGCGTCTATGTGAGCAATAATACCAATATTCCGTATCCGATTCGTTTCTTCGGATTTTGATAACTTGAAAACTAATCTGTGTTGTATCACAACTGGACATCTTTGCCATAATAACGTTCGGAGAAGATGTGCCGGTTTAGATGTAAATAAGCAAGATCGCATGGCGATTTGTTATGTTCGGAACATTTTCACGTCTGGCATGTAAAACACCGAGGTACTTCTTGGTCAAGACTAACAAAATCCGCTTCGGTACACATTTCCGGATTGTACAATAAGTTTGTTGTGCGTGGCAAAATGACAACATCAAAAATAACAAGAAAATGCAGCAAAGCTGCTGGACACAAAACCATTTTATGAAAATGACTTACTGACAGTCCACCAACCACGAGGGAACGGATCCTGCATACTTTAATCTATTTAATTATAATCATATAAATTGTAAATGGCATTAATTGTGTTGTTCAGAATATTCAGTTCACGCTCAATATCTAGTTGTAACCGCACGTTTTGGGCCAAATGTCAATGATTTGGTAATAATGTCATCTTCTAAGAGAGAGAGAGAAGCCGGGGACATAAGACGATTTACATAAACTATCATTTACACCTTTTGTCAAAATTGCAGCAATTTTTGCATATATAATTCTTTTGACAATGTCCCTATTTGACTATTTTGGATAAAATATCAACCATTTTCTAGGATAAAGGGTCAATCGTAGCCCCCCTCCCCCCGTCCCTTTAAATAATAGTTATTAATTCTCGAGACTGCAACGAAGACATATTTTGACAACGCTGGTTTTTTGGTTGTTACCTTTTCAGGCGCTAACTACTAGCCAAATGCCACCTGGCTAATATCTCCCCATGTGTGTATGACTGCGTGTGTGCTGGAAATGTATACGTAATGTGGTGTGTTTGTAGCGGGACCGTGCTTCATACGGTATCATTTATAGTGCCACCTCGCTTGAATGCTACAGCACAAATACCGCAACATTCTCCCCAGACCAATTTATACTCCACCTGGGTTGTTGGAGTTGTATAGGCAGGAGAAAAACACTTGCTCTGCATATCCATGCATACGACAACTTCTGGGATCGAACCCCGGCCGCATGGAAGGCCGTTGTGTTAACTTTGACCACTCGACCATATTAGCATATGACATATTGTTCAGAACGACTTTAACAAAAAGGGACCGAAATTGCCCCTGTCCCAATATGGGGACATATATTTTGAAATAAAAGTCCTCAGCAGGCAGGGGTTTAGGGGGATAAGGTATCCTGGTTTAAGTTAAGTTATGTTAACCCCCCCCCGTACGAAGAAAACATAATAGTACACCCATTGAATAATGACAGGACTGGATGTTCACTCTACTGACAAAATGTAACTGTTAAGTTATGTAGGAAACAGTAATTTCATGTGTATGTGTGCCAGCTGTTTGGGTCTCGCCTATTTCATATTACAAGTGAAATAAATATAGCGTATTGAACGGGAAAACCATGAAATTTTCTATTTCTTACATTTCTTTCACGTTTCGCTGCGCAAATATTGCTACATCAGAAAAGCGCGGGAATGTATAACGTAGTTTTTGACGCCAAATTATAATGACGTCATGCTTGACAACAATACAAAGCGCCACTTTGAATGGGTTTTCACTGCAATTTTGCCGTTTGCTAGTATATCTGGTAAGATTTCCAGACCAAAATGATATTAATTGTGTAGTTATGTAAAAACAACAATGTATGCTGCAAAGGTAAACAGCTCAACCACTTATACTGCCGTCACTTCATCTAAACTTGAAACTGAAAATCTACGCAGAAATATAATGTACCGTTCAGATTGGACAATACTTACAGAGTGAAGTTTTTACTTGTGAAGATATAATGTTTCGTTTATCTTCACTGCATTAAATATATGTTTTTATTAAATAGAGAATTCATGATATTTTACAAGTAAACTGCAATCAATACCGATACGGTAGGGTTTACCAACATATTTTTGTAGACAGTATGCGGCCTTAATTTCCCAGAAGGCTTTCACGCATGAGGAAGCACCGGAAGTGGACAAAGTGTTTACAGATCAAACCCCGGCGGCGCTTTGCGCCGCTTGGGGGTTTGAAAAAAATAAACATGTAAAGATAGGAACACATCTTAAAAACTCTTTCTCATGATTACTACAGAGCTGTGGTTAATAGATTCCTTCGTGTATTTTTGCAGAGAAGTCTTTCCAGGTTGATATTCTTTTGGCTACATGACTAGTGCGCTATAGTGCTATTGTCTATAAAAGTATGTGTGATCATGCAGACACCATGATCACTAAGAGAGCTTTGTTCAGAAACCATGGTCACTAAGAGAGCTTTGGTCAGACACCATGGTCACTAAGAGAGATTTGGTCATATACTATGGTCACTAAGAGAGCTTTGGTCACTAAGAGAGCTTTGGTCAGACGCCATGGTCACTAAGAGAGATTTGGTCATATACTATGGTCACTAAAAGAGCTTTGGTCAGACACGTTTGTCACTAAGAGAGCTGTGGTCAGACACGTTTGTCACTAAGAGAGCTGTGGTCAGACACCATGGTCACTAAGAGAGTTTTGGTCATACACCAAGGTCAATAAGAGCACTGTGGTCAGACACCATGGTCACTAAGAGAGCTTTGGTCAGACACCATGGTCACTAAGAGAGCTTTATTCAGACACCATGGTCACTAAGACAGTTTTGGTCAGACACCATGGTCATTAAGAGAGATTTGGTCATATACTATGGTCACTAAGAGAGCTTTGGTCACTAAAAGAGCTTTGGTCAGACACGTTTGTCACTACGAAAGCTGTGGTCAGACACTATGGTCAATAAGAAAGCTGTGGTCAGACGCCATGGTCAATAAGAAAGCTGTGGTTAGACACCTTGGTCACTGAG